TGGGTGAAGCCTATTGTTTTTAATCTGACGTCTATATTATCACTAGTTTGCTTGTGTGATGAATTGATGATGTTCATGTCCTCCAGAGCATTTAATTTTAAACCTGATGAAAATGCTCTGCATCTGTTTGGTTGGATTTTGTGATGAATCAGGAGGGGAACGCTCTTTCTCAACATTGTGCTTTGCTCTTGCTCTTCATGAAATGATTGAGTCCCCATTTCGGGCAATGGATGAGTTTGATGTATTCATGGTAAGTATTTAAGACATAGCACAAGCTCCCTTCATTATTTGTTGGATAAGTTATTAGTTTGCTGACTTGTAATTCTTCTGGATCAGCTATCCCTGCAAGCATCATTATTATCACCACCTTAATCCCAAATAGGTTGAATAATTGCATTAAATTAATAGTTCCAATTGGTTGTATAAACTTATTAAGTAACACTATGTTAATGCAAAAAACATAGGGGCAATGGCTTGCAGCCTTGCACCGATGGACTTCATGTCTTCATTAGAGGGAATAATGAGATGAAAAGTTCTACAACTGGTCACACCTATTTGGGACAGAGGGAGTTTGAGATTAACAAATGAATATAGAATATATTTTTGGCACATAAAAAGCTTTATAAAACTAGACTTGGCTTGATTATTTAATTGTAATAAAATGTTTAAAGAAAATAGTTAAGGAAAGAAGATATGCTTTGATCGTAGGAATACTGGAATAGTGAACGAGACAAGCATTATGGGACGGAGGGAGTATTAAATATAAGGCCTTTACTTTTTACAGGGAAACAAATCAAATAGGTGCATTAGAAGACCCTTTTTACTAATGTTCAAAGTGGATAATTTGATTAGTTTGTATTCTTGCAAATCAGGCAATACAGTGTCCTCTAATATATATGTTAAAAAAGGGTTGTGTGGGGCTTTTTATTTTGAAGTGCCAATAACAATCGCTAGCTGGGTCAGCACTTGAAGATGAACTTGAAATTTTCAGCTAACACTTTTCTCCTTCATCCCTCTGGCCTGCAGGATGCCGTAAGCAGAAAAATCAGCCTAGATGCTCTCGTTGACTTTGCATTGGCTCAAGGGTCTCAATGGATTTTCATGACACCCCATGATATTAGGTAAATAATCAAGAATCAAAATATGCAGCCTCAACCTTCCATTTCAAACATCTCGTCGATATGAACGGTTGGTAATACTTTGTTTTTGAATTCTACTTTTGTTTATCATCAGTATGGTGAAGCAGGATGAGAGGGTAAGGAAGCAACAAATGACGGCCCCTCGTTAACTTCTACGTAAAGCTTCTCCCCAATGCAATATTTTTTGTATTTTTACTTCTTGCATGTTGTGAGGCCTAATATTATTATATTATTGAAATAACTTCACATTGTAAAAAAAGGATCTTAATCTGCGGGTTTTTGGATTTAGTTTTATTCAGAGGCGATGCCTCTATGTATGATAACTTACCCGTTCATAGTTTGGGTCATGGTTGTCTTTATCCTCTTCCTCCAGATATATGACAAAAGTTTTTGGCATTTTAAGAAAAATTTTTGTGAATAAAGATAAGCAATTGCACTAGTAAAAATGAAATTTTGTTTTATATATATATATATATATATATATATATATATATATATATATATATGTTTTGGTTCCGGTGAGAATGAGATCTTATGAAAGAAATAAGAATGAGTTACCACCGTTAGATCTGATCCTACTGCGTCAAGTCCTCATGGGCTTTTTTGGTTTTACACAACTCAATCGCATCTCATCGTATTCTCTCTCCTATCTCTTTCCATAAAATCCTCTCACAATCAATTACCTTCTTCCTCTATCACCATTAACTCTTTTTCTCTCTTTGATTTTCTTCAATCTTTGCCATAATTAACAACTAATTTCTTCCATCGTAGAATTTTAATAATTTGGTGGCTCAATTTCATGGATTCTCTGATTTGAATCCTTTTTTCAACATGGCGTGAATCGGTGTTGCGAGATGCAGTTGCAAGGACAACGGAGGAAGTAGAGCTTGGCATCCAAGTGATGATTAATGCAAAAATAAATAATTGAAAGGTATGGTAGTGGCTGGATTTTGCTTCCATCCTATACAATTGGGTTTTATTTTCTTTTTTCTCTTTCTTTTAAAAAATTTAAATCAATTTCTTGTGTAAATTAGTGTTGAATCATTAGAGTTTATGTTTGCATGCAACATGTTTGATAAAATGTCCCAAAGATTTATTTTGTGTAATCTACTTCAAGCCTTCTATTTTGGATCAATTTCATATTTTATTTTTTGTTCAAGCATTTTGATTTCATTTTGTACATTCTTCTTCTAGCTTTCTAATATCGGTGATGTTGGAAAAAATATTATAGATTTTGATGATGATGTATTTAGAATGTAATATGGACTTTAAGTCTCCCCCAATATTCAATGTAATTTTTCTTTTTAGAAATATTGTCAAAACCGAGTTCTTGAGATTTCCAATAAAGTTGTGATATTTCTTTAAACGGTTTGATGCCTGAAGACTTAATCAAATTCAGTGATTTGGAAATTGGATATCTTGATCGGAAATGTCAGAGACAAGTAAGGATTTCTCAAAGCGGATGAAAATCCTCTAATCCGGAAGACTACATGATAACCGGATGTCTCGCTACAACCCGC